ATAAATATTTGTTATATGCGTGTACGTACATAATCTCGTTTTTTTAAGCTAGGAGCATATTTTAATAATTTTACTCTTATGTAGGTGTTGTTTTCTTGTTTTTCTGTTATTGGTAAAGTTCCTTATTTTTGTCTATGTATTTTATATTGTAATTATTTTACCACAATATCAACACACCGACTTAAAGAGGATAGAATAACACTGAAAATAATATTATTTACGAAATTGAATTTACGCCTTCAAGCGAAATGATATCCATATCGTGAGAGGAAACATATAAACGAAAGCATGCACAGACTGTCGATCGTTGATGGCGTGATCATTTTCACACCGGGTGTCACACGTGACCATTGACCGCACTGACGCAGCTGTAACAACACAGCAGACTCGATCGTTTTCACTATGCATTGTAGACCAATGTACAAGGCTTTGATTCGATCTTTCATTACCCTGACTTGTTTTCAAAGTGTTCGGCTGATGGCTGCAACCAACGCGTGGTCAAAAGTTGTGTTGTTTGGCGACTCCATAACGCAGGTATGTGCTAGTGCTCCATATATAGTCCTGGTTCCACCGTGATGTCAGTGGGCGTTATTTATATTTGGTCGTCGACTGCCTACTCAGCACCGTCATGGATCCTGCTCCATGACAAACAGCAGGGATACTTAAATTTGCTTATTCCCTGCAGCATTTTAACTCTGATTTGGTAGCTATTTTAAATAATAATAATAATAATAATAATAATAATAATAATAATAATAATAATAATAATAATAATAATAATAATAGTGAACTTTATTGATATCGTATCCTTTACAGGATCTTGAGTTGAATTACAATAAAGTGTGGATGAAAAAACAAAACAAAAAAACAATAAAATAACATAACAGAAAAATGATAACAGAAAAAAAAAGAAACCTTGCAGATATGCCTTGATATCAATATTGTTGTTTATTTGGATGAGAGTGAAGCTTTTCCATGTTGTTTTCTCTAATTTTGAAACATTCTTATATGTATTTAGCTAGTTTTATAATTGTTTTATTTTCATTGTTGTTCATCATAGCTATAATTTTTTCTTCATCTGTCGTGTTTGGGAGTGAAATTTTTGACTTAGTGTTTAGTTGGTTTCTTTCATTTTCATATAATTTGCAGTTAAGCAGAAAATGCTTTTCTTCTTCAATTTCGTCTATATAACACACAGGACATTTCCTTTTGCATTTTTCTTTTTTATTGTAGCGACCCATTTCTATTTGTAGAACATGAGCACTAATTCTTAGTTTTGTTAGTGCTGATCTATGTTTAGAGTCTTTTATCACTGAAAGATACTCCTCATATGAGCAGTCATTTTTTTAACATTCTGTATGTGCGCAATTTGTTTTTTCCTTTTTTGTCACCCTGCATTTTTTCTTGACTGTTAATTTTGAATATTTTTTGTTATAGAGGCAGCATTATGCAGATGTTGGTTCTCCCACACATTGTTTTCATTTACATATTTTAGTATGCTTTTCAGACCAGTTACCCAGTTAGGTGTATTGTTTTAGTCAAGCCCCATTCCAAGTTGATATGCTTCATGGACTAGAGTATTTTCATTTTTATTTTTCATTTTTAGCCAATAATTTATTAAGTGCTTTATGCTCGTTTTACAGTTAACTTGTAACACTATTTACAGAATTTGGTGTGTATCTTCTCCATAGGAAGCATATTATTATGAAGATCTTTGGATTGTAGTATGCAATCACTAGCCCATACTTCACTGCAATAGAGTAGGACTGGTTTGATTATGCTGTCAAATAGTTTCAGGTGTGTTTTTATTGGGATGTTATTTTCTGTATATAATAGTTGTTTCATTTTGAATAGTGCTTTTGTTGCTCTGTGTTCAAGATCTTCCTGTGCTTTGCTGAGTTTACCTGAAGAGTTTATTTTTAGTTCTAAATATGTATATGATGTTATGTTTTCCAATTCTTGACCATTTATTTTAAATTTTCCCAGATTTGTTGAAAATTATTATTTTTGATTTTGATGCATTGACATCCAGCTTCCACTGTTTGCAATATATTCCTACAGAATCAATGGCATTTTGGAGACCATGTTTTGATTCTGAAAGTAGTAATAGGTCATCTGCATACAGTAAACAAGATAGTTGGTTAGTTAAAAGAGTTGGTGGGGTATTTTGTGATGATTCAATGTGGTATTTGATGTCATTAACATATAGATTGAATAAAAGTGGGCTCAGGTTATCTCCCTGTCTAATCCCTCTGTTTACTGAGAAAGAGGGTGTAAGCCCTGTTTTTGTTTTGACACAACCAAAAGAGTTTTGATAGATTGATTCTATGATATTGTAGAATTTACCAGAGATGTTGTTTTTACGGAGTTTGTAAAGTAAGCCTTGGTGCCAGATTGAATCAAAAGCCTTTTTAAAGTCAATGAAACATGCAAAGATTCGCTTTTTACTTTTTAAATATTTACTCAGTAACTGTTTAAGTACAAAGATATGATCAGCTGTTCTGAATTTTGTATACGAGGAATGTGTTACTGGCTTAGTTTATGTAGGTGCTGCTGTCTTGTATTAAAACAGTTTTTTAAATATTGCGCTGAAGGAATTGACATTTTCTCGTTACTTAGATAAAATATGAATTTATTTTCATTACTAAATTTGTCAAAATTTGGTATACGTTTATTAGCTACAATGTAAAGTTTTGATCTTATTTCATTGTAATGAGGACAATTTGTGACAAAATGTTGTTCATCTTCAACATTGTCACACATATTGCAGACTCTGTCTTTAAAATCCAATCCTGTATGCCGGCCTGTTTCAATTTTCAGACAGTGGTTGCCAAGTCTAAATTTTGTTAAGGATTTGCGAAGTTCATTGTTTTTCATAATTGTTAAGTAGTTTTCTTGTTCAATTTTGGTTTTAAAAAGTTTGTAGGTTCTTTTATTTCAGGTTTATAGGTTTATTTTTAGAATTTGATTTTTTCCTATTGTCATTATTTATTTCATTTTTCCACTCAGTTGTAAACTCTTCTTTTAATTTCTCATCAATTGTTTTTAGTTTTGATAATGAGATAATATTTGTTTCATTTAAAAGATAAGAATGGTTTATATTTTTTAATATCAAATCAAGTCTTTTAAACCATTTACTTTTAATAATTTTATTGACATAGTATGCTTCTTGAAGTAGAGTATTTGTGGAATTTGCAATGCGATTGGCATATTT